ATAACTTCAATGTTTCTGAATTTGGACAAGTTTGCTTTGTGACCTAAAATGTGGTCATTTCTGGAAAATATTCCATGTGCTGCTGAGAAAAATGTGTATGATGCTGCTATGTGAAATATTTGGTAGATGTCTGTGAAATCTAGTTGATCTATGCAGTTGTTTAGATCTGCGGTTTCTCTATTGTTTTTGCCATATTGACCTATCTAGTGGAGATAGTGGTGTGTTAATGTCCCCCAAATTAATGTCTGTGGATCTATGTGGGATTTGAGGGAAAATAGTGTTTCTTGGATAAATTTGGGTGCTCTGTTGGTTGGTGAATAGATATTTAGAATTGTAATATCCTCCTGAAGGAGAGATCCCTTAATTAGTATGTAGCGACCGTCTTTATCTCTTCTCACTAATTTTAATTTGAAGTCTATTTTATCTGATATTAGGATTGCAACTCCTGCCTGTTTATGGGGCCAGTTGCTTGGTAGATTTTGTTCCAGCCTTTCACTTTCAAAATATGTTTGTTTTTATGGGCAAGGTGTGACTCCTGAAGGCAGGGATAGAAGGATCTTGCTTTTTAATCCATAGACAGTCTGTTGCTTAATTGGACAGTTAAGTCCGTTAACCTTGAGAGTTAGAACTGAGAGGTGTTTGGTAGTTCCTACCATGTTATCCACCTTCTTGGGGGCTGTGGCAAATGGGTTCTTCCTATGGGTCTTGGATTCTCAGTTTGGGTGTGGTTTCTTGGCCTTTATTGTGGTCTTGTTGGTTTTCTATGTGTAGGACATCTTTAAGTATCTTTTGTAAGGCAGGTTTGGTGGAGATATATTGTTTCAGTTTTTCTTTGCTATGGAATGTTTTTATTTGACCTTCAGTTATGAAGGAGAGTTTAGCTGGGTATAGTATTCTTGGTTGATAGTTGTTTGTCTTTAGGGCATGGCATACATTATTCCAGGCTCTTCTTACTTTAATTGTCTCTGCTGAGAAATCTGAGGTGATTCTAATTGGTTTCCTTTTATAGGTGATTGATCTTTTCTCCTTGACAGCTTTAAGGATCTTTTCCTTGTTCTGAATTGATCCTGTGAGGATTATAATATGACGTGGGATGTCCTGTTCTGGTCTGGTTTATTTGGGGTTCTAAAAACTTCTTGTTTCTGCGTAGGCCTATCTTTTTGCATGTTTGGGAAGTTCTCTGCTAGAATCCTGTTAAACAAATTTCCTAGACCATTAACTTCTGTCTCTAGGTGCTCCTCTACACCCATTATCCTCAGATTAGGCCTTCTGATGGTGTCTTCCAAATGTTGAATAGATCTATCATATTTCTTGGATTTTTCTTGTGACCTAAAATGTGGTCATTTCTGGAAAATATTCCATGTGCTGCTGAGAAAAATGTGTATGATGCTGCTGGGTGAAATATTCGGTAGATGTCTGTGAAATCTAGTTGATCTATGCAGTTGTTTAGATCTGTGGTTTCTCTATTGAGTTTTTGCCATGGTTGTATGTTCTTTCTCTATAATATCTAGACTGTCTTCAATTCCCGAGATTTGATCTTCTGCATGGTCTAACCTACTGTCAAGTTTGTTACTTTGTTTTTATTTCTTTTCCTCCTAATTTGTTGGTTTTGATGGCTTCCAATTCTTTGTTGGAGCTTTGTTTTAGATCTTGTATGAACTTCTTTACTTCCTTAATTTGGTGTTCAGTGTTTATTCTCAAATCACTTAGTTGATTGGTTATGGTTTCCTTGGATTCCCGTTCCTTCTGTCGGTCTCCATTCAGCATTCCCTTTGTGGTCTCCCTGAATTTGTTCAGCTGTCTGTTTATGGATTCCATGAATGTCTCTATTGATTTTTGTCTATTCTCATCTGCTCTCGCAATTCCTGTAATACTTTCTGATTAGCTTCCTCATGTTCATGCAATTCCTGTAGTTCTCTTTGACTGTTCTCAGCCTGCTCATGCCATTCCTGCCTTTCTCTTTGACTGTTCTCAGCCAGGTCATGCAATTCCTGTCTTTCTCTTTGACTGTTCTCAGCCTGCTCATGCAATTCTTTTATTTCTCCTTGACTGTTCTCAACCTGTTCACGCAATTCCTGTATTATTAATCTTTGTGTAGCTTCCTCACGCTCATGAGATTCCTGTATTAATCTTTGGTTTGCCTCCTCTCGCTCCCTATCACACTCACACTGAGTCCTTTGCAGGTTTTCAATCTTTTCATTCACCATGTTTACCAATAGTGTTTGTAGAGCTTTTTGGGAACTCTCCTCTAGATTATTCATTAACTGTTCTGTCACCTGATTATCCTGAGTGGGAGTTGAGAAACCCGGACTTGGCATTTTTCTTGTGTTTTTCCGGCTTGTTCTGCTCATTTGGTATGAAAGTAACACGAATTTTGTGCTAGAACACTATTTTAAGGCAAGAATCAACCAGAGTTCTGGAGTTGCACTGTCAAAATGGCTGCAGATACAATATAGTTCAAAAGATACAATCTATTCAACATCAAACAACTATGGATTAATGGGCTAAGAGCAGCAAAGAAGAATTTGGCAAACCAGAAATTATTAGGTTTAGGGAGTAATGTGGGGAAAAATAGGATTAGAGGGATGTGAAAAGGTAAAAGGAGAGTGAATTTAACCAAGTCCTAATCTCACAGAGGGAAATGGATTGGACAGAATGATAGGAGAGAGATTTTTTAAATAAAAAGGAAAAAAACGGAAAAACAAAAATTTAAATTTAAAAAGTGAAACACTTAAAAATTATATGACTACAGTGCTTGTAACCCCTCTGTACAGTATTTTCACAATAAAAATAAATAAAAATTTTTAAAAAATTATATAAGTTTAAAAAATGATATTGAGAGAAGAGGATAGGATGAGAAGAGGGGAGGGATAGAAAGGAGACATGAAAAAATAAAAAATAAAAATTCTTAAAGTTAGTTACTTGAAAATTATATAGCTATAAAGAGATAATGCTGCTATTAAAGAAGTTAAGCCTAAGAGGTTGTGAATTGAGTAATAAATTTCTGGATTAAGTATGTACACAATGGGGGATGAGGTCTAATAATCGACGATGGGTATATATCTGGGGATGAGCAGAACAGCAATTAAGTCATACGAAAGAAAGAGAGAAAAAAATGAAAAGAATAAACAAAAAAAGGACCAAAAGGGCAAAAGAGATTTTTTTAAAAAGCACACACATACATGTACACCTAAAATAAAAATTATGAGAGAAAAAAAGATTAATAGAAAACATTTAAATAAGAATTTTTTTAGAAGGTACAAAAAAGTTCTTTGATTTTTTTTCGGGGGGGAGGGCAAGGAGGGGAATGGGATGAAATATATCTCCCCTGTGTCTGTAACCAGTCTCTTGGTGGAGTCTCTGGTCTGCTTGAGGTGTTTGGTTTTCCTGTGGCTTGATTGGTTTCTTAAGTCAGTTTGTTTGAGCAGGCAGAAAAATGCTCTGCATTACCCAGGATGTTGTGATCCTCCTCCCAGGCTAGTTCAGTGGGAGGGAGATGGCTGTTTCCTCTAGTTTGGAGATGGTGTGATGAGGGTAGGTTCTGGGTAGAGTTGAGACTTTTAAACAGTAGCTTTTCCATGAGTGGCTAGCTCCTGAGACACAGAGCCCAGCCTGGAGCCATTCTCGGGGTTTATGTTTACTGAATTTCAGTTGTTTGTCTAGGCTACTGTAGGGAGGGGCAGCCTCTGGCTCTGTTTACCCAGTAGAGAAAGTCACTCCTACGTGGCAGAGCTACCTCTACCTGGGCGGGTGACTTTCCCCTGGGTGGAGCTGAGCCAGGCAGGTCAGGTCAGGTTTTTGTGACCTGCTAAATAACTCTTTTGTTTTTTCCAAGGCCTGAGTTGGAGCTAGCTGCTCAGCCAGGCCTTTGTCAGTATCAAAGATGGAGGTCTCCAGTGGTAGGGGAGGGGCAACCTTCCCTCCTCTGCTCCCTGAGAAGGAGTGAGGATGTCAGGGTTCTACTCATGCCAGACCAGAGTCTTGGTTCCTGGGCTGTCTCTGGTCTGCGATCTGCAGGATGAAGATATCTGTTCCTTGTCAGTTCTTGCTGGTGTTGAATAGAATTCACTCACCTACCACGTCTGGCGCCTTTGTCTGTAGGTATGGCTGCTACAGCCGTCACCACAGCCACCACAGTCATGGCTACCAGCAAGTGCCCAGATCTGTCTCCTTGCCTCGATTTTCCCTCTCTGGCCAAACTCTCTGTACTGTGATAGCACACTTGGTGTGATTTTTTAGCCTAGCACTGTTCACTGGAACACTAAAACTGCTTTCTTTGTGAGAGCTTGTTTAGCCTCCGAACCTATCCCTTTATTTTTTTTAACTCTTTAAATTATATCAATACAGTGTCAATTTTTTTGGTGTTTTTTAGGGGGTAGGGTTGTTTTTGTTTTCCTGGTTCCAGGCCTTGAACTCATGGGCTTGATGTTCACTTGGCTTTCATACTAAGCAGATGTTATACCACTTGTGCCACACTTTCAGCCCAGCTTCTGCTTGTTATCTTGGAAATGGAGCCTTGTAGACTTTTCTGCCCAAGCTGACTTTAACCCCTGGTCTTCCATGTCTTAACCTTCTCAATAGATATGATTACAGGTGTGAGCCACTGGCACCAAACAATATTATCTTTAAAGTCTTGAAAGATTGTCCAAACTATAAAGAATCTCCATTAACTATAGGAAACACATTAATATCGTCATTGTATTTGGTAACTAGCATAGAAAAGTTTGTCTTCAGAGACATGACTCAGTTATAGAACACCTACTTGGAAAGATTGAATCCCTGAGTTCAAACCACACTACTACTGAAAAAAATCGATAAAGAACTTTGTGTGAGCCAGCATCAAAGATCTTGTCTTCTTGATTTTGTAGAAGAATGTGTTCATAAGCTTTAGAGGTAAAAACAAAATGCTCTTATTTAAAGTCACACATAAAATAAATCAGGATGGATTTGTCATCTGTGTGTCTCTGTTCTCAACAGTATAGTTTTTCATTTTCCTACAGCTCCTTGCACAGGCAGCACTTTTTTCTGCCATAGCAACATGTGCATCAACAATTCCTTAGTGTGCAATGGTGTTCAGAACTGCGCATATCCTTGGGATGAAAATCATTGCAAAGGTAAGTCCAGTTTGAAGGCCAGGTTTTTTGAGAAGAGTGAATCTTGCTTTTCATTAAGGAAGACTTAAAATATCCTTTTCTACAATGTGCTTAACAACTGTTTTAGCAGACATAGAGACAAGTGAGAAGGGAGAATACAGCTCTGCAATGTAGTCAGAGCACAGCAAAATACCACTTCTATAGCCAGGTGCCAATGACTCATGCTATTCAGGAGGCTGAGATCTGAGGATCTTGGTTGAAAGCCAGCCAGGGCAGGAAAGTCCATGAGACTCTTATCTCCATTTAACTACCAGAAAACTAGAAATGGCTCTGTGGCTCAAGTGGTAGAGTGCTAGCACTGAGCTGAAGAGCTCAGAGATAACATCCAGGCTTGGAGTTCAAGCCCCATGACCATTAAAAAAAAAATGCTTCTCAATAAAAGTATTTTGTGTTTACATAGTAAGTTTTTACCTTAAGTTGTTCAAAAGCACATTGTGTTGTTTTCTGCTCTTATTTGCTTACTGTTGTTGAAACTTGTCATTTGTATTACAGTGCTGCCTTATCTGGTTGTCAAAATAATGTAGACAATATCCTAGAGTTCTGCTTTCTTAAGTTATAGGGAAATGCTGCTTAACAACAATCCACTAAAATATTCAGCCTTCCAACATGAAAACAGATTCATCCTAATAATTATTTTATCCAATTTCCTGTGCAGTGTATACTCTGAAAGCTAAATATGGCGGATGCTAATAGTTGGATATTGGCAAGTTGCTTTTTAAACCACTAAGAACTAAAACAGTTATGTAAATATCTTACTATGAAAAAGTATGTAATCAGATGACTGTTAAGAGTACTTGATCAGGTAATCATCAAACATAGTAGAGCATGATAACTTGACTCAAGACATGAGTCTGATCATGTTTATTCTCTCTTCCTGTGACTGTTGGTAGAACTGTTATACATTTTTCTACATAGCAGTTGGTCAAACCTGCCATGCAACCTAAACCTGATAGAACAAGAGAATTTATTTGAGCATTTTCTATGTTAATGTATTTGATTTGATTTGTAAGTTATATGCATTCATGTCTCTGAATAAGAAACAAAGTATTTTATCTTTTCTGCAATCTGTATACCTAGGTGTATCATGATTAGTTACTTTACCCAGAAATCATATTCAAAGGCCTTATTTTCAGTTGCATTGTCTGTAGTATATTTTACTTTGGTTTCCTGCTTTACTTAAATATACCTTATTGGGTTGAATGGGAGATCCCTGTCAACGAATTTTGAAAACCTTAACATTTCTCTTTCTACAGAAAAGAAAAAAGCTGGGCTGTTTGAGCAAATCACTAAAACTCATGGAACAATTATTGGCGTAACATCAGGGATTGTCTTGGTTCTTCTCATTATTTCTATTTTAGTGCAAGTGAAACAGCCCCGGAAAAAGGTCATGGCTTGCAAAACTGCTTTCAATAAAACTGGGTTCCAAGAAGTGTTTGATCCTCCTCATTATGAGCTGTTTTCACTAAGGGACAAAGAGATTTCTGCAGATCTGGCAGACTTGTCAGAAGAACTGGACAACTACCAGAAGCTTCGGCGTTCCCCCACATCCTCGCGGTGCATTCACGACCATCACTGCGGATCACAAGCATCCAGTGCCAAGCAAAGCAGGACCAACCTCAGTGCCATGGAACTCCCCTTCCGAAATGATTTTGCACAACCACAGCCAATGAAAACATTTAATAGCACCTTCAAAAAAAGTAGCTACACTTTCAAACAGGCACATGAGTGTCCTGAACAGGCTCTAGAAGACAGAGTCATGGAAGAGATTCCCTGTGAAATTTATGTCCGTGGGCGAGATGATTCTGCACAAGCATCCATATCCATAGACTTTTAATCCTCACTGATGGTGGTAGAAATCAGGAACTGTAGGTGTGCAGCCTAGAGCACCAGTTCTGTCTCAGCAGCCAACCCTGTTCTAGCAAAACTAGGAAGACCTTCATTTACCATTAATGTATTGTAATGGTGACTTTATCTCAGGCAGTCTATATGTGTTATACCAACCAAGGACTCAGTGGGGAAATTCACCATCATCTGTTGCTTGATGTCATATGAACAGAGCACCACTAGTTAATGAGCAGCTGAAGAGAGAGAGTGCTAAGTCGGGCTCGGGCTCAGGCTTAGGCTGTTGAATGAGCTCTATCAAGCACAGCTTTGATCCCACAGTAAACTTCAAAAATAAGCTTTTTTCCTTATTCCTTTTGGTTTACTTTTCTCTTAAGTTGTTTTACATGCCTAGAGTTTGCTACTTCTGTGTCCTATCTAAGGCTAAAGGGTTAGTGTACCACTTACATCAAATATAGTTGGTTACTGGGGTAAGTGCCATTTAAGACTCAGATATATTTCATTTCTGTCTACTAGTTTATATACTCTAGCCTTCCCATTGCTGGATCTTCAGTCATTCATGGGAGAAGTAGTAAATGATGCAGTTTATTATTATGAAATTATATTTTGTCTTAGTTACTCTAGTGTATTTCATAATCCAGGAAAGTATGTACCAATTATCAGTCAGGACTAAAACTTCGAGAAAGATAACTTAGCAAGTATTTCAAGTTTCCTATATTTGGTTACATTCATTCCAGAACACAGGGGGTCATTTAATGCACATATGGGTTACCTGTCATTAGGTTTATTTGTGGTGGTCTTCATCTCTGTATCTCTGTTATTTTTGCAAGATGATTATTTCACTACTCTTGTATTGGATTACTTCTTTCTTGAGACAGTACATTTTTCTAGCTCTTATCAAATATAACAATTTCAACTTTTTTTTAAGCTGCACTTTTGACCTTATGATTTTTATGGTATATAAGATAATTTATAAACATGATATAAAAACTCATTGTGTTTTTTTAGACTTTTGATATTATTTTATACTGTACAAATTTTATTAAATCAAGATTAATGACCTATAGAGACAGATTTCCTGACTGCTCGCATACCAGTTTTGTACGTGAATGTGTTGTAAGGGGGATGTACATTGTCACTTATTACTAAGACCTGGGTCATGTCTGCATAAGAAGCTTCTTTCCTTTCATTGCTGTATTTAGTTGTGATAAATTTTTCACTGTGTGATATTTATTGCTCTAAATTACTACACAAGTCTTATATTAAACTCTAAATTGTCACATAATTCTTCCATCATTTATGGCACTTATATTTGAGATCTTAAGATATGTATAGAAAGGAGTCCATTTTCTGAATTATAACCAATATAAGCCTATTTAGAATAGGTAAATTCTCGTTTTTTACATTTTTATATTTTTTACATTTTGCATTCTACATTTTTTACATTTACAGTGAAATAAGTTGACATCATAAAATTTTTGTTAATTTTTAAGTGCTTTGGGATTCTTGTTTGAGATAATATCTTGCTATATAGCCCAGGTTGACCTCAAATTCATGGTCCTGCCTCAGCTTCCCAAATGCCTGGCTTACAGTGTACACTACCACATTCAGCTCATAAATTTTGTTCAATATTATACAGACACTATCTCAGATTAGTGAAAATTTTGACCATGAACATCTATATGATACACTTAGAGAATACTGCCTCAAAGTTTGTTTTCTATGTCATATTTTGTATTTTAAAAAGTAGGTTGTATACAAGTGACAAGGAAATCATTCTCATAGTATATTCATGATTTAAATTTTATATAAGCCACCAGAATCCAATTAACTTGGAAATATAAAAAAGACTTAATGAATATAGTATTCGATGATCTTGTACTGGAGACAGATTTAATAACTTAAGTTATTTTTTAGTGGTTACATTGAGTTGACATTTTAGTAGGAAATGGGCCAACCAGCATTTGGACAACATAGAAAATGCTTACATTAACAACTACTATCTTAATGTTCATTGTGATGGAAAGGACATTTTCATACTTGGTATATAAAATTATTTCTGTAATAAAAGTATCTGTTTTGTACATCTTTAACATCTAGATTATGGTAGAAGTAATGCTAATTACAGCTGCATTATGCTACATTATGGCTAGTTGTTTATAACTATGTTTTTATTTTTGAAACTTGTAACCTATTTTTAAAAGACCTAAAAGAAGCCTACAAAATACAGAGCCTATGGAGACATTAAATATGAAAACAGCACAGAAATGCACAGTTTCATGTAATTTAGCAAGTTGGACAGTGATCTGGTTCTAAATTTTCTGGCTGTTAAAAGGAAGCAAACTGTTTCCTTTTCACAGTAGAAAACACAAACTCATTGGGTGCTGTTGGTTCATGTCTATAATCCTAGCCACTTATGAGGCTGAGATCTGAGGATCATGTTCAAAACTAGCCCGGGCAGAAAAGTCCATTAACCTCTCATCTCCAATTAACCATCAAAAAGCTGGGAGTGGAGGTGTGGCTCAAGTAATAGGATGCTAGTCTCAAGTGAAAATCCAAGCAAGAACTCCATGTCTGAGTTCAAGCCCACGTACTAGCACAAAAAGGAAAAATAAAACACAAACTTACCTGGGGACTAGTTCCTCTAGGACTTGAGGGCCTAACTTTAGATAGCATTTCCTCAGAATTTAAAGAAGATGCAAAATGAAGGAAGGAGGTCATCATGATATATCCTAAACAAGTGGTCTTAAGTTAACATCCTCTGGGGACAATAATTTCTGTTGAGTTTATTTGTGGGGACAGAACTAAAAATCTGAATGGTCAATAGCTTAGTCTATCATAGGTTATAAGCTGTCATTGAGTTATAGCTGGGCATTAGATCTCATATCTTAGTCAAACATTTTCTTGGTATTCTATAGAAACACAAGACAATAGAGCTAATACATTTTAGAATTGTTAGCAGAGTAATATTAGTGTACATAATTGTAAATCTTCTAAGACAATGGAAAAACTTTACAAATTATTTACTAAACTAAATGCCATAAAATTTAGCAATGACATATATGAGATTTAGCCATCTTGTATAAGTTAGAACACCCAACAGAGTGACTTGTTAAACGTGCTCTACCAGAAAATCCAAATCTGAAAGGAACAAATGTTCAATTCAGGAAGAATATTAAGTACAACTGTATGATATTGTCACTGTAAGTGTCCATCCAGAATTTAACACAAGATAGCAATTCCAAGTGGCCACAAATTGAACAACAAAAAAGAAACCCTCTTTCTCAACATCTCAAATGTATAGGAATAAAGTTCACTTTTCACTTTGGGGGAAGGGGGACATTCAACCTAAAGGTTTAAGCAAAAGCAAGAGATTTTCCCATTTTACATCACAAAAAGATAGGGTCTCCTTTACCTAAATGGCTCTATGTCAGTGTTTTTGTATTGGTTCCTACAATTCCTAGGCATTGAAAGAGCCTCCTTAAATAAGTGTCTGCCAGTGAATATTTTTATATTTCTGCTGCTATCTAAGAAGCATGCTTCCTTGTTTCTTGTCACCTGATAAGGTGGGAATGGCCTGGTGGTGATTGGGGGGGGGGGACCCACATGGGGATGGGGGTGGGGATCTCAACTGGGATTATGTTGTCATTTCAAGATGGCATCTCCTCTTTTGTATGTGGTACTTAGTACAAGTTCTTAAAGTAATATGCCTGAATCACGCATTAGACCTGAAAAGAACTTTGGTTTCTGGCATATTTTTTTAATCCAGGATACCATGTGCTGGTAGCTCATGCCTGTAATCCTAGCTACTCAGGAGGCTGAGGCCTGAGGGTCACAGTTTGATGCCAGACCTGGTAGGAAAGCCCATGAGTCTCTTATCTCCAGTTAACCACCAAAAAGCTGGAAATGGAGCTGTGGCTCAAGTGGAGCACTAGCCTTGAGTGAAAAAGCTAAAGGGGCAGCACCCAGGCCCTGGGTTCAAGCCCCAGTACACAGGCACACACACACAAAGAAAGACTATAGTTAGTGATCTCCCTGACTCAGAACTCCATGCCCACCACCCTTTACCTATTTCTTGCTCTCTCCCTGCTTTTGCTGGCTGTAGTTAAGTCAAACCATTCTCAACAGCAGCCCAGCTGTTCCATGTAAAGCGTGTCAATCATTCTTACAATGTAATTTTATAAATTTCTTCCAAATATTCTATCTTGAATTTTTTAATGTATATAACACCACATAATTCTACAGTTTTGTTACCACAGCTCCTTGGCTCCTGCGAACAACTCTGCAAGCAGTTGCTGTGAATTCTCAATAAAGTGTTGACTAACAATACATCTGTGTGGTACCAGACAGAAAGAATTTCAGTGTTTTTGCTTTTGTGACTTTTTTAAGCTAAAGAAAACAATGTATAATGTAAAAATTAAACATTTATATGCTATATCGCGAGTTCTGGAGACTGATTTGTGTGTGAACCACTGGAAAAGACATGTTGATGTAGCCCCCTGCCAAATCACTTATGTGGGGTTTGTTTGGTTTTTTTCCCCTCTGCTGGTAATTTTTTCTCCTTTTCTAACTTTTTTTTTGTACATTTATGTGATAGGTTTATTTGGCAACAAAAGCCCAAGAAACTACTGAAGGTGCATGTTTAATATATACTATCTAGTGTGAACTTTAAAAGCAGATTTTTATTACAAACTTCCAGACCATATAAGAATTCTTACATGCTATTTATGATTGAAAAAAATCCTTGAACTGGAAATAAAAACTTAATATTTTGTTTCCTTACCTCAGTTTCTAAAATCTAGATGTGATAACAAATTCAGGTCACTTTGAGCCACAAAATTTGTCTTTCTAAAGTTGGCATTTTCTCTTCTACCTTCTAAAATAAAATAATCATTTTATGATTTTGGAAAATAACACTGGAACTGGGAACTGATGGTTCATGCCTATAACCGTAACTAGTCAGAAGGATGAGATCTGAGAAAAGACCATGAGACTCTTAAATCCAATATACTACACCACCCTCCCCCTCCCAAAAAAAAAGCCAAAAGTAAAGCTTGCTGAAGTTGTAGAGTGCTAGCAAAAAGAAGCTCAGGGTCAGTGCTCAGGCCCTGAGTTCAGGCCCCAGAACTGGCACAAAAAAATAATAATCATGGGACTGTCCCACTTAGAGTCACTAGATGTTTTCAGAATTAATCTTCAAGAAACAATTTAAAAAGAAAGGAGAAAGATAAAGGCAAAGAAAGAAAAAAAGGAAGAAAGAAAAGAAAAGATGTGATTTTGTCCTAAATTGCCTGAAGGTCCCAGTGTGTGAGAACTTTTTTAGAGTGGGTTCCCAGCCAAGCTGTCCTTTTGAGATGCTAGATACAAGGTATTTTGGCTACAGTTATTGCTTAGCTCAAAAAGATGAATGAAGCCAGCTCACATCTATAGTTATTCAGGAGGCTGAGAT